AAAAATAAAAGAGAAATGACAGATAAGGACAATAAACTCAATTTAATATCCTTATCTCTTTAACAACTCTAGAGCCTCTTTTAGGTTGCTATAATTGCTTATTTGTTTTTTAATTATTATTTTTATTTGTTTTGTGTTTCTTTTATGTTTTTTTTTTTTAATTGTTCTAAATTTTTTTAAGTGGTTTTTAAATCAGCTTGTTTTTGTTTATAACCCTTAAGAATTCCAATATTCTTAACCCCTTGTAAATTGCTATATCCTTAACCCCTTGTAAATTGCTACAAGCAAAAAGGTTTTTTTTTCATCATTTTTTACAGTTCATATTTTTTAAACTAGTTGGTTTTATACTTCAACTATTTTAAGATATCAAATATGTGACATCACAAGTATGTGACATCACAAGTATGTGACATCACAAATATGTGACATCACAAGTATGTGACATCACAAGTATGTGACATCACAAGTATGTGATGGATACTTTTGAAAGAACAAAATATTTAAAATCTGGCATCTTTTTCCATAAATTCAGCTTTTTCCATAATAGCAAGCTAAAGTTGATATTTTTGTTTTGGAATTGAAATTTTTTTTCTTTTTGTATTTATTATCCTAAAAAAAGTCTCTAAAAGTCAGGTAAATTTTCCTTAAAAATTTTTTTTAAGAAAAAAAGTTTCATTAAATTTTACTTTTAAACAAAATAAATTGTTATTTTTTGGAACTTATTAATAATGAGTAGCCTGAACTCTCTCCTTGCTGTATTGGTCAAGTTTTAAATGAACAATAAAAAAAGTAAATGTTATAAAGAACTAAGTCTAAACTAAACCAAGAGCTTCTTTCTTTGTGAAGCAAAGTAAATCCCATAGATTTTATTTGTAATTATCACGAAAAGGTTTTTTTTTTTAGGTATGAGAGTGAACAGGTATTTTTGTAAACCTTTGAACAAGTACACAAAGTAACAAGTTTTAATATTTAAACTAATACCTTTAACTTAATACAAATACCTTGGGTTATAGATAAATGTTAAACAATTTATAAAAATAAAAATTTTTCTGAAATTCTGAATATTTATTAAATTTATTTTAAAATAATAAAAATTTGTATTTTGTGCTAGAAAAGCATAGTTTTTGCAACAAAACAAATCAGAAGAATGCTGTAAAAATGTCATAGTATCTTGTCATGGTTTGAGTATCAACATGCCAAAAAATTGATTGACTGCATGAGCTTTTGTAATTTTTTTTCTATAAATTTAAAATACCTTTTTTTGTGTATTTTTGTGTATTTTTGCTACTTTTTAGGAAATTAGTAATAAAAGGAGAAAAATCAAAGAGAAAGGGAATAGTTTAGTTTAAGATAAAGTAAAAATAATGTTTTTTAACACTAGGAAGAAAGAAGAAAAGTTTACTGCAGTTGATATTTGAAGTGGCAGTTACAAATGCAGTAGATCTCTGAAGTGGCAGTTGCAAATCAGTAGATAATGCATAATGCGGTGATAGACTAATGGTAGAGTGCTCGGCTTTTAATCCAGAAATTCTATACTTCTGGAAATACCATACTCAACTTGTTTTTACACCTTGTTTGTATTTTGGAGTTTAAGTTTGAAGGAGATTTGCAAATAAAATGAAACTAAAAAAAATTAATCACTAAAGTAGTGACAGTACCTCCCCCTCTAGAGTAAGTGACTGTACCTAACCTTCTGGACCTTTAGGGAAGTGACTTTTAAAAAAGGTGGATTTTCAGAAATGAATTCCTAACATGCAATGTCATACACCCTCCACTACACTGAAAATATCTTTTTCAGATGAAATTTAGGTAATAGTATGGTGATACCCAAGGTTTCTTTTCAAGCAGAGTATTATTGGCTGAGAGTTGCTCTCAATTAGTTCTTTTAATTGGCCAAGATCCAGCTCCAGAGAATGTTTAAATTTGAAATTGGACATCCTCTAGAGGATTGAAACTTGGATCTGAAAATTCTAACAGCAAATATAGATGCAATATACTAAGTAGGTTATTAGTAGTTTATATTTGTACACATCCAATAATTTTTGAAATTTGCAAGATTAATAATAATGTAATAATTTTCAGTAACAGTTAATATGATTAAATATAACCTTAATAATAAGGTTAATATGATTAAATATAACCTTAATTATTAAATACAGGTAGTAAATAATAATAATAATCATTTAATAATAAAAATAATAAAAAGATTATAAGAAAAGTACAAAATTTTTTCAGAATAAAACATGAAACAAACAAATATTTGCAAGTGTTATTTGTTTTTTAATTAAAAATGTGTAAAATAATGAGTTTATTAATTATCTTGATCAATTTATTATTATAAATTATTATTATAAATTATTATAAATTATATTGTTATTATAAATTTTACTGCTTTCATTCAGCTTTACTATAGCAAATTCAATAATATTTGAAAGGTTAATTAAAAACAACTTTTTTTATGTTTAATAAATAAATTTATCTCATCAAATAGAAGTTGTTTATTTACATCTTTTTTTAAATTTACAATTTTATTATGTGATTGGTTTTCTTTTCAAGAAGAATGGAGAGCAATAATGAATGCAATAATGATGACGTTCCAATAAATTTTTCAAATATATCTACAAAAAAGCTGGTGCTTGTTGAATACCCAGGTTACATAAAAAGTGTCGATAAAATGTTAACAACACTGGGCGGCGAAAATCTTATAAGTGAGGTTTTTTATAAGAAAAAATGTCGTCTGCAAATGACTTATCGACCAGAAGATTTAAATGCCCATTTTATATGTGCTGATTTAGTTCCTTGCTGTGGTGTACTAATTAAGGTGAGGCGTCGACTAAAGAAAGATGGGAATGGGATGGAATATAATCAAGAAATATGCGGAATTGTAAAGCAGTCATACAAATTTCAAACTTTAATGGACTATCAATACCTTACCCAGAAATCAATGTGGGATTACTTCAAAACAATACATGGTAGTGAGTTAAACTTGAAAAACTTTCCACCACATCTGACTCCGCCTATTTTTGGACGCATTGATACATGTGGTAGCTATAATTACAGACCTGATCCTGTTGTAGCTCCCACTTTTTCAAATAAAGAGTTAGCAAGTGAGAATGTTGCAGCTAAACATTCAACTGGATTTGTGCGTAAAAAGAGATATACAGAATCTCAAGCTGCACTTTTTGATGCTGAAAGTGTTATTACGCATCCCTCTGCTAAAGCTATTGAAAATCTCAATGTTTTAAAAAATGGTCCTGATGCAGAAGCTGCTAGGATTATCGAAGAGCTCTTTGCTCAACGACCTTTATGGTCTAAAGCAGCTTTGAAGTGCCATGTTCAAACTGGTAATGAACGAGTTAAGAAAATCCTATCTTGTTTTAGTTATTATTGGTTAAATGGACCTTGGAGGACACTATGGTGTCGAATGGGGTATGATCCGAGAAAAGATCCTAAAGCAAAAATTTATCAGCTTCTTGAAGTTCGTATACGTAACTCGAAAGATTCCAACAGTAACTTTGCTCAATTAGTGCCAAGACGTAGTAATATGAATTATACTCCACGAAATTTGCAGACTCGTGTTTCAATGCATAGTAGCTCTGTAATTAATCCAATTGAAAGTAACTGTGACAATACATATCAGGATTTGTTTCCATACATTTTTAGTACAACTAAGCCAATATATACACGATATATGATGTATCAGCTCTGTGATTTGCATGAACCACGAGCTCAGGAATTAATACATAGTAATGATGGTAAAGAAACTGTTTGCACAGAGAAAGATGGATGGTTTGAACCTGGCGTTTTAAATAAAATTCGTTCACTTATAGTTGAAGCAGCATATGACTATTTTAAGAGGCAAGAAGTCGCTAACCCAAATACTAATTTAATTAAAGACGAAGAAACTGATGAGTGTTCATTTGTTGGAGATAAGAGTTACAACAGAATGAATAAAGATAATATCGATAATGTTAGCTTTCTTCAGATACTAAATGATGTCGGAGTTGATAATGATTAATTTTAATAGTTTTTTAAATTAAAAACATACTAAAAAATTTTTTTTCATTATTTATATAATTGAATAACTTAAAGTTTATAAAGAAAAAATTGAATAAAGAAAATGTGGCAAGTTGTTTTAAAATACATTTTGTATATACACTAATGCTGTTTTAGTTTAAGTCATTTTTTGAATTTTTTTTTTCTAGAGAATTTGTTTGTGGACTAATATAAAGTTTTTGACTTCTTTTTATATTCAATGTTTGATCTATGTTAACAACATGAATAGCTCAAGTTTTTAATTTTTTTTTTTTTTTGATTTTTAATAATAACAACAGTGATTGTTAATTCTTATTTTATTTATTCTGTTGTATTAATTTATATTATTTTTATAAATGCTTCAAAACATTTGCAAGTTTTTAAATAATTTAATTAAATTATTAAATGATTTACTTTGACTTTAAATTATTTTTTTTTTTTAACAAATATTATATTAAATAATTTACTTTGACTTTCTTTATTATAAATTTTTATCTGATTATATTTAAATCTGTGTAAAGAGAAAGTAATAATGTCATTTTATGTTTTCGTTTTTTTTATTCATTTATATTTTTTTAAGCAATACCTTTAGTTAAAAAGTTTTTTTTCAAATATTATTTTAATTAGCATTATTAAATCTATTTATTATTTTTGAAAAAAAAAATGCTGAAGTTACATTTTAAATTTTGAATATGAAAATATATGTAAACTATAAATAAATATAACATTAGATAAATATTATCAGTATCTTGCTTTTTTCATTGTAATAAGCTAGCACAATGTTTTCTTTTGGAATCCACCGCCTTTCAGTTTTTCGAAAAATATCGAGAATAGCATTTGCTAATAAGCACACTCTTCCAGAATTGGGGTATGAATATAATGCATTGGAACCAACAATCAGCGGTCAAATTATGGAGATACATCATCGCAAACACCACCAAGCTTATGTAAACAACTTAAATACAGCAGAAGAACAGTTAGCTGAAGCTCAGCATAAAGGTATTAAAATTTATATAAGTATAAAGCTTTTATTTATATTATAATATTATAATTTTATAAGTTTTAATAAACATTTATTATTAATTATTAATAATAATAATTTTAATACAATAAAAAATTATATATATGTATATATATATATATATATATATCAGCGGTGAAAATAGTTTTTTAATACTTGCCGATCAAATGTAATTTTCTCACATAAAATATGTTGCTATTATACTGCTAGCTTTCTTACAAGGTTTTCTTTTCTTTTTTTTTTTCAACGACCTTTAGAAACTCTTTAAACTGAGAAGGGCTTACAAAGTTAATAATTTTATAATCATTGGCTTGAGTTGTACTTGGCTCGGAACTAACAAAAGGCTCTTAAAGCTTTTCTGGTGAAAGTAGCAAATTATTAGTATTTAGAGTTTCTCCAGTATTTGCTTAATATGGATTGTTCTATCTATCAGTAACAACACTACATAAAAAATCTGCTTCTGAAAATACATTCATGTCAAAAGGAAATATTCCACTTTTCCTAAATCCACTTCGAATGTTTGTAATATTAAAACTTTTAACACAAGATGCAATTTTGTAAATAGTGATTGGCACTCCAGGATGATTTAGAAGCCCAGATTTTACCGCATCATTATAATAAACTTTGAATGGAGCAAATACAGAGACATCTAAGGGTTGCATTTTGTGGCTACTATGTTGTGGTATAGTAAGAATAGTAACACCATTACTCTTTGTAAGATCAAACTTTTTTTGTGGGAATATTATTGCAGATGGTAGCACCTGAGGCACTTATGAAAAAACAACTTGTCACCAAAGTTCCACGTTCTCCACTCGTCACAGAGTTAACTTGCTTGATGCCTTTTTTAGTAATGATTTTTTTACATTTTTGTACATTAGTGGTAGCTGTTTCATCAAGATTCCAAATGCAAAATCCATCGCCAAATTTTGATTCTTTTAAATACAATGCCTCTAAATTAGTAAAAAACTTTTGTATATTGTTATTGTTAAAAGATGTCATTCTTGACAAAGAACATCCTTCTGGCATTTTAATACTTAAAGAATTCCGCTTTTAAAACAAGCGCATCCATTCTATTTCAGCTTACTTAAACTGAATTAAAGAGAAGAAAGCTTGAACTTTTATATTGTTTATTATAGCCATATCAAAAGCAATAGATCTTAAATTTACAACAGATTGTCCATAACACATTTGAAAGCAAGTAACAATATACTGCTTCAATAAATTTTCTTGCCACCCAAATTAAAATTTGAGGACTTTTTATTTTTATTTATTTTATTTTATTTTTTTTACGTTTTTTACAGCAAATATTGTTATTTTCGCAAAAAACCCACTAATTTTCTGCTAAAGTTCGCCGGAATGAGGTGGTACTGTTGCTCAAATATTTTTTTTCTAGAATAGGCCCTGCTATTAATCTTAAATTTTTGTCCAGTTTAATTGTGGATACAGTTTAATTGTTGATAATATCTGTAAACTTTATTAGCAAGACCACCTACTGAGATTCCTACTCTTATGGCAAGAATAATTGTGTACATATACTGCTGATCTTTACAGAGATTGAAGATTGCTTCTTTTGATAATATAGGTAATCCATTTCTATCTTTAATAGATTGAAATTTTGCAACTGGCAAATTTTCACATATCTGAATGGCTTTACCAATTGGTCCTGTAAAGGAATTTCTGCCGGATGTTGGACCATCAAGTTATATAAATATATATCTTAGTGGGAGTGTGCAAAAGACAAATTAAATAATCAAATGGGCATCCTAATGCTTTTTCCAAGTTTTGTATTACTCCTCCTTTAAATCTGTGGTTAGATCAGTACTATCACAACTGACAACTTGTATATTGAAAGATACATCCATTTTGTTAATTTCTGACAATATGCAGTCTGCAATAACTTTGCTTTTAATAGATTTTGGTGAAACATGTGTGAAAAAGATATTTATTTCCAGGTTCTGAAAGCAAAACATAATGCTATTCTTTTTTAGTACCAGCATACCATTTATCAGTTTTTGTCTCCCTAGTTAATCATCATTTCCCACCATCAAAATATAGTAAAGTAAGCTTATCAGTACATGTATGAATATTTTCTCAACTTTATCCTTTCTCTTCTTAATTTTTTTATTAGCAATTACTTTACTTCAGTCTTTATTAGTAACAATACCAAAATCCAACAATACAGCTGTGGCAAGGGAGGCTGCAGCATGATTTGAATCACCATACCAGTCAGGCTCTTTTGCTAGATTCACTAAAAATACCCTCATATGTTTACCAGTTTCTGAACTTGAACTGTCTTAGTCTGATTTGGCTGCTGCACTAAACTTTTTCACACTTGCATCAATTCTTATTGATTATCATTTTCAGTTTCATGTTCACATGATTCAATGTATTTTTCTAAACTACTTTTGTTATATCAGGTTTTTTCTGTTTTTCAGCAGCTTCTCTATTATTTTTAGCAAGCTTGTTTTTATTCAGTTCTTCAACTTTTTTTTTAACATCTACTCCACCAATGTACATTAATGTGTATACATCTTTGGTTATGTAAGAATTTTAACTCTCTTTGTGGAACTTTCTTTTCTCTCGCACATTTATAATCTGCAATTACATCTCTAGAGAAATCTTCTACATGGAGTTGACACTTACAAGAACAAATGTCAAAGCAACAGAATGTTGAAGTAAACTTTTGTAATTGTACTGAATTTGATTTTGATTGGCTTCAACTAGTCTCTTTATTTATTATGACAGTGAGCCAATATTTTACTGTTTTATGTTGAATGGCAGGAATAGTGCCATGTTCCATAGTTCAAATATATTATTTTTAAAATATTATTTTATTTCTTATTATTAATTATTGTCTTCTGCGCAATTAGACAATTTTATTGATTGATTGATTGATTGACAGGTTGATTGGCAGCTTATTCTTTGGTAAAACTGCAGAAAAACCTAATATATAAAGGCTGATTTCTCTTTGAGTTTTAATGTGTGGTGTTGAAGTCTGATTTAAAGCATTGGTTTTTGTTGGAGTTGAATTTTTATTGACTGATTTACACTATAAAAGAAATATAATATAAATGAGACAAGGCAAAATTATGATCATCATTCTGCTTGAACGATATATGTATTGAAAAACAATAGCACAATCATTGTTAATGGTAACACAATTGTTTATTGTGTTTTCATTAATAATCAAATAAACCTATCATATAATTTAAAAATGATCAAATAAAACCAGAATTAACTGCATTAAAAGAACAATTTGATATGTCAAAAGATTCATGACAGTTGAAATATTTACAGTTTATGCAACTATTAAATAAACAAACAAGATCCAAAAAATGGGGTGGTTGCATTTTTATTTTATTTTTTTCTTCCACAAGTTACTTTCACTTATATAAAAGCACAATACTTTCCTTGTAAATATTCATGACAAAAACTGAAAGTAAGTGGTAAAATTGAACCAATTTTTAACCTGGCACCATGCTTAAAGACATTTCCAAGACCTACAAGGAAAATGACTCAAGAGCTCAGTGAGTGAGCACACCATCAAAAATGTAGTCAGAAAGAATCTAAATGCAAAATCAAGAGCCAGGATTAAGAAACACCTGGTTTCCTCAAATGTTAAAGGAAAAAGATTTGAAAGATCAGTGAAACTTCTGAGCTTTTTAAAGAAGAGACCAACGACCATCCTCTTCTCAGATGAGAAATTGTTTACTGTTGATTCTGTGTCAAACAGTAGAACCAATTTTTTTTGTACTCATCAACCAGTCCAAGCAGTCCCAGAGCATGTAAAGTATACATTCAAGACCAAACATTCGGCTTCATCTATGTTGTTTGGCCTGGTTTCATCTGGTGGTCTTATCAAATCTGGTCAGAAAGTTGACACCATTGAGTACATTTGAATCCTGGAGAACCATGTCAAGCCTTGGTTTGATTCCCACTACTCTCCAAACCACAATGTGGTATTCCAGCAAGATGGAACACCACCACATACATCCTATAAAAACCAGAGGTGGCTCCAGGAAAGCCTGCTCAAACACTGGTCAAAAGTGTTATGGCTACCTGGATCTCCAGATTCGTCACCTCTTGACAATTCAATTTTTGTAAAGTTAAAGGCTTGTCAACGTCCCCAAAACAGTGTCAACTACCTGAAAGCTGCCATAAGGAGGAACAAGATGCCTCAGGACTATATCCAGACAATCTGTTCCAGATTCAGGAGTCGTCTTGAAGCTGTGATTGATGCTGAGAGACAACATATTGAATAAAAATGTAAATGCATTAATTTTGATCAAAAAATATTTTTTTTACAAAACTTGTGGTAGCATACGGTGGAGTGTTCTCCAGAACTCACTTCAATACTCTCTAAACTATTTAATAAGTGCCTAATATTATTTTCATGCTTGCTGGAAAATTGCATCTGTGGTTCTAATTTTAAAAAACTCTGGAGAAACAGACTCTCCAACTATCATCTAATCATTTTTTTCTTTATTAGCAAAGTCTTCAAGTTTTTAATTAATAACTTTCTAATATCTCATCCTGAAGTTAAATAATTTACACTTTGACATTTGATACTGATGACTCTGGCATCAGTACTGATGTACTGATGTTGATTCATTTATTCTACAGCTGACTTTTTAGCAGTTATAATAGAAAGTTGCCCTCAAAGGCCAATACTCATATTTAGTAATTTTTTGGGTACCAATAGGTACCCTAAAAATTACTAAATATGAAGAGTTCTTAGTCCTGTGTTGATTCTTATCTATATCAATGATCTTCCTGACAGATTTACATCTAAAGTGGCCTTATTTGCTGATGACACAACTATATACTCTAATCTTGGGAAAAAAGCCAGTAGTTGTCATGGTAAACAGGTCATAACTTCATGAAATATTGGAGTAGTGATGTACTTTATTATTAATGCAGGAAATTCATTTTATTTTAGATCTATTTAGAGTTTTTAAAAGGTTTCAAAGTCAAAAAGGTAAATAAAAAAAAACAGGTTGATCCATTTCTTGACACTCATATCACTCCAGTTTCTGTATCTAAAGTGATTTTCTGCTTAGAATCTTCTACAGCTTGTGGTCTGGACAACATACCTGTTACAGTCTTGCAGAAGTGTTCTCCAGAAAAACCCTTTTAGAAATTTTTTTTTCAGCCTGCTGGAAAGCGGCATCTGTTATCCTTATTTTCAAAAATTCTGGTAGCAATCTGACTCATCTAACTGCAGTCCCAATAATCTTCTTACTATCATTCACAAGATTTTTGAGTTTATAATTAACAAACACTTAATTGCTCATCTTAAATCTAATAACTTACTTTCTGATCATCAAAATGGATTTTGATCTTCTAGTTCTACTGCTAGTTTACTATCTGTAATAATTAATAGGTTTTTTTGTGCAATAGATAGATGTGGAGAGGTTAGGGGTGTCACTCTTAAAATATTTCTAAAGTCTTTGACAAAGTTTAACATGATTATCTTCTTAATAAGCATCCTCTTACAGTGTATCTTATTGATTTTATTCTTACCAACCATAGTATAAAAGTTATCCTTGATGGACAGCACTCTCCTTCCTTTCCTGTAACTTCAGGGGTTCCTCAAGGTTCTATTTTTGACTTTATACTTTTTTTAATTTACATTAACCAGGTCTCCCAGACTTTCTTACTCCTAAGGTGCCATTGTTCGCTGATGATACTGCCATTTATTCTTGTCTTAATAAGAAGGCAACACTCTGATTGCTTGGAGAGGACATTTGCGCTTAAAAAGGGTCTCACTTCTGCTACAGCATAGACCTCTTAGTGGTTGGTGAACTTTAACTCAGTGAACTGGTGAACTTCAACTCAGATAAAACTCAATTTTTTTAGCTAATCATTATTGCAATAATCCACATTTTTCTATATTTCTGAACACTAATCTACTCGATGAGTCATCTTTTAGGATTAACTCTTACTTCCAATCTTTCTTGGAAACCATATATAAATCCATTGCAAAATTAGCATTTGCTAAGGTTGAATCTCTTTATCGTGCTTGTCACTTTATTACTCCGGATTCTTTTTTTTATCTCCATAAATCTTTAATTCGTTCTTGTATGGAATACTGTTGCCATATCTAGAGCAGATCTTCAAATGATGCCCTTTCTCTTTTAGACAAGTCACAAAAATGCATTGCATACATAGTTAGACCTGCTCTTGCAGCCTACCTTTAACCATTATCACATCATTGTAATGTTGCTTCTCTTTCTCTTTTATATTAGTACTATAATGGGCGCTGCTCTAAAGAGCTAGCATATCTTGTGCTATCTACTAAAACTCATTTAATTAAGTGTCATCCCTTTACTGTGACTGTTCCCAAGTTCTCCAAAAATTCTTTTTTGTCTAGTTTTTTTCCTTGAACGTTAGTGGAAACATCTTTGGATCTTTGCTCCCTTTATCTTGTTTCCCTAATACATATAATTTGCAATCTTTTAAATTGTCTGTTAATTGCTACCTTGCTTTATAAGCTTTATCCTTTTTTTAGAGTAACTTTAATAGTGGTTTCTTGCAGCCTTGTTGGTAACTTTAATAGTGGTTTCTTGCAGCCTTGTTGGAAGTGAAGATATTTAAAACAAAAATTAATAAATAAATTTTCTTGGATGAGGGAATTTTCACTTTCAAAAATTACAAAATTCAAACATGGTTATTTTAGATTTTATGTGTTGCTAATTTAAAGAAATATAAAAAAATAATCTATGAACTAAAGTAATTGTGAAAAGATCTAAAAAATTTTCAGTTGTAATGTCGCTGGTCTATAAGGCATACTCAATACAATGTTTATATGCAGTTATACCAGCTGAAATACTTTATACAAATTGACTTAATCAGAATTAATTGACTTAATCTTTAAATAATGGCCACAGTTCAGAACCAAAGTAAACTGAAAAGAAAATTTAAAAAAAAAAAAACTAAAAGAAATCTTATTGAATGATAAATAAAAGAAAAATCTGAAGGAAACCCTGCAGTAATAGTATAAGCATTTTTTTATTTAAAAGTGTTAATGTAGTTGTACTTAATGTACTTGTGGGCATGTATAAACAATGAGCCAATATAAAAAAAAGCTAACTTTTTAGACTAAGTTTGCTTTGCTAAATATAAGAATAAATATAAATATAATATGACTAAATATAAATGAAATGCTAAATATAAGAATTTTTTTCAGAAAGTGCAAGAGCAAATTAAAATTAAGAATGGTAAATATAAGAATACTTTTCAGAGAGTGCAAGAATCAAATAAAATTAAAAATGCTAAATATAAAAATGTTTTTTAAAGAGCCAAATAAAATTAATATTTTTATTATAAATATAAAAAAAGAATTATTATATCAGCTTATTATATATTCTAAATCTTGTTTATCTTTCGATAAACAATGCAAAAAAAAGTTTCTTTTTTTTGTTTAGGCCATTTTATCGCTAAGCTATTTTTGCTCTCTATTTAAAATGATATTTTACAATTTATATTTTAATTTTTTATTTAATAATTATTTTTGGTCAGCTACAACACTTATTAGAGATATTTGATAAATTTGTTAATTTTTAACTGATAAATATCGATAATTATAATAGTTTAGTTCAAATTGATAAATTTTAATAATTTGCATATGAATTTAAAGTTAATAATGTTAGATTTTCCATTTGGATTTTCTTAAATTAACTGTTAAAATATTGACAACTCCATACCAGTTAGGACTTCTTTTTAAAAAAGGGAAAGAAAACCTGTGTGGATAAAAAAAAAACTTGGGGATTCCTTCAAAAGACTTTAGAAAAAGATCCAAATTTCCAAGTTTTTAAGTCAGCATTTTCCAAAATAAAAAATAAAACAAAACTTTCTGTTACTTATATCAATGCTGTATCAAGTATCTTATATCAAGATACTTGATACAACTGACTACAACAGATGTTTATATCAAGAAAAATGTTTCTTTTATTTATTTATTTATTTTTTACTTATTTATTTTTTAACTTAATATAAGTAATTGAAGAACAAATACAGAAACAATTTGATAAACAAAGAATTTGTCAGACTGATAAAATAGCATTCAAATAAAAGAATAAAAACAAGTCTTATAACAAATATTACATAAAAATTTTTTCAATTATTTAAGTGTTAAAAATAAAAAACATTTGTTATAATAAATAAAACAACAAAATGTTTTACCCCAAAAAGCACCAGTCAACCTAGTTTGTGTAACTACAATGTATATGAATCAAATTCAAATATTTTTAAAATTCTTTATCAAATACAATGCAAATACAAGTACAACAATATAGCCTTATATTGCCATATACAAATAGATATTTGAACTGCATGTGTCTCCTACGAAAGGCTGGCACAATATCGAAGATAGCATTTTTTCTGGGTATACTATCTATTTTGTGTGAATAAAAGTGAACACAAAAAACATTTTTTGCTATTATTAGAACTTTTTCAGAAAATTTTTCTTATAGTTTAGTCTTCAATTTGAACTTTTCCAATAGTTTGAATGAGCATAAAGCTCTACAGATTTTTTTCTAGAATTTTCTGTACAAGATAAAAGGACATATATATACAGCATACAAGATAAAAGGACATATATACAGCATACAAGATAAAAGGACATATATACAGCATACAAGATAAAAGGACATATATACAGCATACAAGATAAAAGGACATATATACAGCATACAAGATAAAAGGACATATATACAGCATACAAGATAAAAAGATATATATATAGCATACAAGATAAAAGGACATATATACAGCATACAAGATAAAAGGACATATATACAGCATACAAGATAAAAGGACATATATATACAGCATACAAGATAAAAAGACATATATACAGCATACAAGATAAAAGGACATATATACAGCGTACAAGATAAAAGGACATATATACAGCATACAAGATAAAAGCACATATATATACAGCATACAAGATAAAAGGACATATATACAGCATACAAGATAAAAGGACATATATACAGCATACAAGATAAAAGGACATATATACAGCATACAAGATAAAAAGATATATATATATAGAATGCTCACAAATTTGAATTAATGCATTTAAATTTATAAATTTCACTATCAATAAATTAAAAATGAAAACACATTAACTAATCCAAAAAATCTTTTATACTGATGTTTTAAACTTATGTTAAAAATTGAAGTTCTTTACAACAGGATTTCTATCCTGGTGGTAACCTGATGTGATTAGACCTAATGTAATTAGACCTGATGTGTGTGCATGTGTGTGTATGTATTCTTTGTTTATTCACAATTTTTTATTTTACTTTTATTAACATAATTAGAGATACTAATATAATTATTATTGAAATCTTAAAAAGTTTTTTTTGAATAACTAAACTACCCTCTTTCATTTAAATTTTAAATTAGGTTCAACCATTTTTATTGCAGTAATTCATAGTTGTTTGCATATATTTAATTGTATATGTATATCAGCAGTTACATATTTACTTGTTTTTTATTTACTTATTTTTAAGATTTGATTCGAAAATTTATAAGATTTGATTCAACAGATATTAAACACATCTAAGTTACATTTTTCAGAACTTAGTAAATTGGCATGAAATGTTCATGGCAAAAAGTATTTTTCCACTTAGATTTGTACTGTACTAGTACTGGCACAAGTACTGTTGAATATTTTATTAGGAGTTTATTTTTAAAAATTACTTTTATAAGACTTTTTAATTCAGAAATTTTATTTATAGGAGATACGTCAAAGATTATTTCTTTAGCTCCTGCGTTAAAATTCAATGGAGGTGGGCACATCAATCATTCCATTTTTTGGACTAATCTTTCGCCAAACGGTGGAGGAAAACCAACAGGTATCAAAACAATTTTTTTTTTTTATATTTTTATTGCTTAAAATACTTTAGCAACTGAAGCATAAGTTTTAAAAGACTGAAACATAAGTTATTGTTTTTTTTAATTATTTCTTACTATTATATTAAATTGTCTAGGTGAACTATTAGAAGCCATAATAAAAGACTTTGGGTCTTTTGAGGCAATGAAAACACGGTTATCGTCTTCAGCTGTTGCAGTGCAAGGTTCAGGTTGGGGTTGGTTGGTGGGTGTTTTTGTTTTCTATTTTTCTAGTATTGAACTTTTTTTTTTTTATTGTGGATTAATTTTGTCTCATATCAAAGGAATTTAATTTTTGTAATTTAGGGATATGATTCTGTCACTAAAAGACTTGCAATTACAGCTTTACCTAATCAAGATCCTTTGCAAGCTACTACTGGTAATTAACTTTTTTTTTATTTTGTTTTTACATTGTTCAAAAAAGTATAGATATTCTTAAAGTGGTGATAAATGTCTTTTTTTTTTTTTTTAAAACTGTTTCTCTCTTCGTTTGTTTATTTATTAGAATATGAGTAACATCTATTTCATTAGAATATGAGTAACATCTATTTCATCAGAATATGAGTTACATCTATTTCATTAGAATATGAGTTACATCTATTTCATTAGAATATGAGTAACATCTATTTCATTAGAATATGAGTAACATCTGTTTCATTAGAATATGAGTTACATCTATTTCATTAGGATATGAGTTATATTTATTTCATTTACAACAAAGAGATTCACATAAAATTCCTTAACAATAGAGTTATGTAAAAAAAAACGTTGTATTATAATATATGATGTATAAATTAAGTTTTTTATCAAATACAAAACAAATAGAAATATATATTATTAACAGTTTTGTCCTTGTCAGGTGTTAAAACTTATTTTAGCACAGATGAATAAAAAATTTCAAAAATGCATTTTTTTAATCAATTTGCATCTATTTTCTCAACTAAAAATTAATGTTTGTATTCTAACATTTTGCTTAAGCAGTCCTAGAAGAAACCTTTTTTATAGAGATATAGTTTAAGGAATAGAGAGAGGAATTGTTTTTTTAGAGATTCAGTTAATCATTTGAAAAGTTTTTGTACGTAATTTAAGTTTTTAAGATATACACTCCTTGTCAATTAAAAGTAAAGGTTTATATCTTTAACGAAATTAGCCTACTTATTGTGTTTTTTTAAATTGATGTTTAAAAAGCATATAAAATATTTAATTATAGTTGTTATAGTTATTGTGATGAACAATTTAATTATAGTTACTATAGTTACTGCAATAAGCAATTGCTTAATTAAATTTAAGAACAGATTTTATATCTCATAGATTTTTCTGGCTCCTCCAACTGAAAAATCAAAACTCATATTGTTGCTAATAGTTTAGCCTAAAAGATTATAGTTTGAAAATATTTTACGTACAATGATCATTTGATTAGATACAATGATCATTTGATAATTTTTTTCATTTAAGTTTAGCAGAGATATCATATATAAGTCTTGTATCGGAATACAAAATTTATTCTTTCAATTGACCCCTAATTTAAGTTGAAGTGGATGTTAACCAAAATTTTTGAAAAGTATCAATTTTTAAGGATAAATTTCTGTATTTTTAAAAAATATAAACTTTTATATAAATTTTTTTACTTTTTTTTTTATAAATTTGTCCCTAGTCAAATTTGTATCGGTAATGTATGAGAATACAATATGGTAAGTCGGTAATGAATATGATAATGTATCAGAATACAAAATTTATTCTTTCAATTGACCCCTAATTTAGTTAAGGTGGATGTTAACCAATATTTTTGTAAAGTATCATTTTTTTTTTTATTTATATTTTTAAGGAGAAGTTTCTGTATTTTTAAAAAATATATACTTTTATATATTTATTTTTTTACATTTTTTTTTTTTTTTAATAAATTTGCCCCTAATAAAATTTTTATCTAAGTAACGCCCTTAGCAACCATAAGTTCAACATTGTAATAGAACATTATGGTTCAAAATATTTCAAGTTTAAAAATATTTTGCATTAAACTAAAAACCTAATATTTAACCAACTTTATACAAAAAAAAAATTTGGTATAGCTTTATATGAAAAAAACTTTTTTTAAAGATATTAAATTAATATATAAAGTTTTTAAGAATTTAATAGTTTTTTATTTTTATTTTTGAGAAATAATATCTTGAGTTATTTTTTTCAGAACATGTTGAAATTTTATCAGGATACTTTAACGGTAAAACAGATTGATTTGGGGAAGCATTTTAAATTTCCTTGACTCCTGGGTCCCGTAACTATGAAAAATAGTTTTTTTTTTATGTTACCATAACAACTGTTGTCATGAACAAAAATATCTTAATCAAATCAATCCTTTTATTGTGGTTGTCATTTTTGTTCGAAAAGGTTTTGAAATTTAAAATCTTTTATTGAGATAACCCTTTCTTAAAATCTTTTTATTGATTTGGTTTCCATGGTAGCAGTACCCGAAGCAGTTGATATTTTTTTATATTTTTTATGCAAGTTACTCACCATAGAGTTCTTTTACATTCCTGATACATAATTTCTATTCCATTAAAAGGATTAAATGGTTTTTTGGCGTTAATTTTTTCAGAAATTTAGCTTTTTTTAAATTTTGTTTAACATCTACTTTAATTTAGTTTAAACAAATTACGTTTGATGAACAATCAACGAATGTAGAGTTGTTTACAACTTATTTTTAGTATTAAAACAGTTAATTATGAAGTGGTATTTTTTATCTTCCCCATTTGTTTTACTACACAAAATCAATTACACAATAGCGCAACAAAATACTATCAATATAGAAGTGCATCAGTCAATAATAAGGCTGTGTACCAAGGAGGTTTAATAAACAAGAGACGATGTCACGTGACTTTTTTGAAGCCAGTTTTTAAAACGGCCGCCATCTTGGTTAACCCAAAACATTTCACAGAACTTAAGAGTTTACTTAAAAACTTATTAAGTTCTAGTCAAAAAGTTGCACCAAATAAATGAATTATTTGTCAGTTTATGTTTGACAACTTTTACAATCTTATAAAGAATTATTTGCTAACTGATTGCCTTTTTCAGTTTATTCTAATAACATTCGGAATACTGAAATAGACGTTCAGATAGCTGTACTTCAACGCGATACTAGAAGATAATGTATTTCAAACAGTATAAAAGATTCTTGAGAAAATATAACCAAATATTTGTGAGTTTTTATCTATATCTAAACAATTAAAAATAAGTATATATTTACAAGCGTGTGTTAGTGTTTATATAAGTATGTAGATATTTATGATATAATATTATATATATATATATATATATATATATATATATATATATATATATATATATATATATATATATATATATATATATATATATATATATATATATATATATATATATATATATATATATATATATATATATATATATATCATAAATATCTAACATACATACTTTTTTTAAGAACACTCTATTTTATATTCTATAAAATAGAGTGTTCTTAAAAAAACAGAGCAACTAAATACATATTTATTAAATAAATCTTTTTTTTACCTTTACATGATTTTTACTGAATGTTGGCTATAAAGTTGATAAAAAGATATAATTTGACATGACTTGTTTTGCTTAAGGGCACTAGAGATTGTGCTGATAGTATTACTTTTCATAGGTATGTTAAGCTACATCAAGCAAGAAATTTAAAAAAGCAATGATATAAAAATATATTCTATAAAATAATGACTAATAAAGTAACGAAATCACTAGAGTAATAGCATATATGGTATTACTATGGTGATTTTTTTGATTTGACAAAAGTTGATAACTGCTCTATGTAGAGAAACTTTACTAGTAAATATAAATCAGCAGTTGTGTTCAAAGAAGAAGAAGTACTAAATCAGCTTTGTGTACAGAAGCTTATATGGATAGAAATGGGCCCTCGTGTGTGAGAGTTTAGTATGGTGTCATATTAGACATTTTTGAAGCACCATAGTAATAGCATACTTAGTTTCTTTCAAGTTTTATTATTAATTTTTGATATATTTATCTTACTCTAATTTAGCCAAGATCATTTAGAGCTGTTATTTCATACTGAGTCGACAGACGCACGATTTGTGCAACTGTTGAAAGTGATAATGAAACTGTCATAATAATAAAACTGTCGAAGTTAAAATGAAAGTTATAATGAAACTAAAATAAACAAATAGTTATATGGAAATGCACTTAGTTAAGCTGAAGTTTATCTTTTTGTGCCACAAATTTCAGTAGGTTTAGTTTCATTATAACTATATCAAATTATATATATATATATATATATATATATATATATATATATATATATATATATATATATATATATATATATATATATATATATATATATATATATATATATATATATATATATGTTTACATTTAACAAAAAACTCACAAATTATTTTTTATTCTATAAGATATTCACACTGTGTAAAATATGGCATCTTCTAAAAGCGTGTTTACTATCTGAATACTCAGTATTTTAATGTTTTGGAATAAACTGAACCCGATAATTAGTTAGCAAACAATTCTTTGTATATTACAACCTTAGAAACAACTGGTAAATTATTCAATCATTTACATCAATATTTTGACGTGATTTCAGCGAGGCTTTCTACTAAAAATTTAAAGTTTCGCGCAAAACATAACAATGTTTTGGGTTAACCAAGATGGCGGCTGACTTTCAAAACTGGCTTCACCGCGTTTTATATAAAGTTTGTACTACAGCGTCTCCTGTTTATTAAACCTCCTTGCCGTGTAAACATAAGTGTTCAATTGACGGGTACTGTAGATCGTGTCTGTTGATCATATTTTTAACTTTTTCCAGAGAAGAAGGCGAAGTAGCTGTAATAAAAAAAATTGTTATTTTTTTTATATCTAGGGTTAATACCGTTACTCGGTATTGATGTTTGGGAGCATGCGTACTACTTGCAGTATAAGAATGTTCGTCTTGATTATGTCAACGCAATATTTAACATCATTGATTGGAAAAATGTATCCGCAAGGTTTGTCGCAGCTAAATGAAATAAGAGCGATGTCATCTGGCTGTTATCATCTTCTGTAAAGATAATCTTTTAATGATTTTGTGTTCAATTGAATAATATAAGAAGAAAAAAGAACTCGAATTACACAAAAGTCTTTGAAACTTTGTTACATTATAAAGTTATTTTATTCGAAATTCAATTAAAAAAGATATTAGTTTAGCGTTTGTTAAGAGACCCAAAAGTGTCCCAAATAAAAAATAAAATTTTATCCGATAAGATGCAAAACAATATTAACAAAATTTTTAACAGTTCTTCAATTAGAATGAAGGAGCCAACTGAATTTGAGAAATATATACTCTATTACCACTAGACACACCTGTCAGAACCTCTGCATCGATATAATTATTTTGAAGAGCACAAACTTTCATTCGAGTGCGATTGCATAACCTAGCTTTGAGATCTAAATTTCTAAGTTACATAATCACAAAATCAAATTTCAATTTTTAAACAATGAGGAGGCATATCCGAAGGAGTTAGACTATTCAAAAATTCAAAAGGAAAGTTTTTTATTTCTTTAACGCCACTAGTCTCAATTTAATCGGTGCTTTTACCTATGCCGGCAAACGTTCAATCACTTGTTTATTGAATAAAAGTGAATCCACATTAGTATGTGTATGTGGATTCACTTTCAATCGATAAACACATTAGTATGTGTTATAATAACTTCTTTAGTATAATCATCTCGCTTAGCATCTCCAAATATCTTATCAACAATTTAGTTGTTTTCTCTAATAATACAATGATGTGGTATTTCAATACAACTTTGTACTAGCTAAACAAGTGACTTGCGGTGTATGTAGAGCAAGGCTATTATGCTAGCCGGCTTTTATAACTAAATATCTATTTAAAAAAAAAAGTAAAGAGGTAATTCCCCTTCTTTCACAACAGGAAATATTTGCCCTAAAGTTAAAAATAGAATTAATACTTAAACAAAATATAATGAAGTTAAATATTAGTTTTAAGTTAAATAATATGTTAGGGGGCGTTTACAAATTACGTCCACTTTAGGGAAAAGGGAAGAGTTAGTGGTTTTGTTAAGACTCATACTGAACCATGTTGTGACGAGAGGGGGAAGGTTTAAAACTCTCAAAAATTGTGCGAAGAAATTTGTGGACGACCCCTTACCTGATTTTTGCGATATCAAATCAAAAGCTTTCACGTTAAAATAGTTAAATTTAACGTCAACTTTACAGTAACTAAGCGCATTAAAATAGACTTTTCATATACAGCCAATTACACCCTAGAAGATTCTATTTTAGCCAATTGCAATCGTTGTAACAATTGTAACAAAACGGATTAAACTGTAACAAAGCGCAAAAAATTACTAATTATAAAAAACACGTTCAAAAAAGCCAAAAAGCTAATTAAAAATGACGTTAAAATCAAAAATTAACAGGGGTATTAATATTTAGATAAAACTCATCATGCTTAAACACTAGATAATCGGTATTTTGTAAGTCGATACCAAGAAGGATAGTCTCGTATCGTTACAATAATGTCAATACCATCAGTATCGGTTCGATACCGATAATAAAAAGTATGGTATGGTATCAAAAATATATATGAAACCTTTTTTCTTAACTTATATATATATATGTATATATATATATATATATATATATATATATATATATATATATATATATATATATATATATATATATATATATATATACATATATATATATATATATATATGTATATATATATATATATATATATTGTATGTATATATGTGTGTGTGTGTATATGTGTATTGTATGTATATATGTGTGTATGTATATATGTGTGCGTGTGTATACACACACACACATATATACATACAATATATGTATATATATATTGTATGTATATATGTGTGTGTGTATATGTGTGTATGTATGTATATATATATATATGTGTGTGTGTGTATGTGTATGTATGTATATGTGTATGTAGGTATGCGTGTATGTGTAAGTATATATATTTGTATGTTTTTATAGAATTAAATGTGTAAAAAATTATATTTTTATTTAAGTGTGAATCTTTATACATGAATTATTAGAAGATTATTTTTTATTCAAAATCTGTTTAGGCGGTTCTCGACGACAAGATCTTATGATATTCTGCGAGTATCCGCGTTTTTCTTATTTTAACGCAAACAAATTTTATAACTTTTACTATATGTATTTTATGAATCTTATTCATTCTTATATTGTAAAACTTATTTTGAATAAATAAAAAGAACAAAAAAAAAAAAAAAAAGAAAGAAAAACAAATGATCGCATAGTCACAATTTAAAAAGAAAAAAAATTTAAATGTGACCCTTTAAATTTATAATTAAAAAAATACAAGTAAGGTTTAGTTAGTAATGTTTTTTATAGGTTTAGTTAATGATTTTATAAGAGGCATAATAAATGATAATTAGTTTAATTTAGTTGTTAAATACAGAACAAAAGACTAAACCAGAGGAGAACTCCGATGCCATGCAAGATTTATATAAAGTAACAATATCAGATAAGAAATTAAATTAGGGAAGCGATACCACACAATTAATCAAATTAATGTTGCGATACTATATGAAACATTAAATGATAAATGTAATGTGATACGATACCACGCAATTGTTGAGAATTTCTATTATTCTATATGAGTCAATTATATAGGAAAGAGTGGGGAGAGGTGGGACACAGGAGAAGTGGGACATCTCCAAAGTTTCAATAAGATGAGGTCACCAATCAACGTTATTTAATGAGTACCCTTTACCTCTCTAAAAGTACTAACTCTTTTAATCTACCTACCCAACATTTTATGATATTTATTAATTTATTGTCACTTTACTTTTATAATTGACCACCTGCCATCAAATATATGCCATTTGCAGATCCCCTCTCCCCCGTCCGAGCGTACGTACTTTATGGACAATCCCTTATTAAAAGTTTTTATTTAAGTTTATTTTTAAATTGATCAAAGAAAGAAATGGTTTTTATCTAATTGTTCATTAGCGTGTTCTATAGTTTAGGTCCTCTGATTGCGACGAGAACTTTTTAGCAAAATAATTTTTTTTAGATGAGCAGTATCAACAGTTTCTTCGTTGTAGGCCCCCCTTGAAGCCCTATAGTGAAGAAACTGTTGAAACTGCTTATCATCTCTGAAGAGGAATTTCAAAGCATCTTCAAGCATCTTCAAGGAGTTGCTACCATAATTCGATTTATCAGATTTAACAGCAGAAAATCATAGCTTACGGTTTATATGAACATTTTAACCATTTTAATTTTTTTAAATAAATTTTTTAAACCATTTAAATTTTTTTAAGTAATTACTTTAAATACTGTTAGTAATGATTTTTAATATTGCATTAACAAATATTGAAGAGTATTTGACTAAAAGAATATATAAGACTATTTTTAATGAACTTCTTGTGTAGAAAATCAAAGACCGTATCTTACAATTTAAATAGATATTTGATGGTAATGTAATGTAATAAAAATAATAGAGTTTATATAGTTATTTTTTCACTTCATTTGTCAATATATTTAAGAAGGTTTCAAGGACCTTTGAAAATACTTTTAACGGAAAAGTTTTTTGTTTTGTTTTACCAACAGTAAACCTTTTTGTCCTGATCTTGCACTTTTTTTAGCCCTTTTTTTTTTTGCATTTTGGCAGTAATTTATAGTTTAGGAAATGTTGAGATATTTATGTTATGCATAAGCCAATTCATACGTTTCAAATAGCAAATAAATATTTTGTCTATAGAATGAAAATGGTACATGTAGTAATAAAACAGTTTTTATAAAAATTGTTGATATTACATAATAGAACACTCTTTTTTTTTTAAATAGTAATTGAAAATCACAATAATCGGTAACGTTTTGCGGTCTAAGCAGTTAAAAACCAACAAAATATAAACTAAAACTATACTCAGCAAAAAACGAATACGTTCCCCTCCCTCCCCTTTAAGATCTCTTCGGGACAGCCCTGGCAACATCTCTAATGTTTAAAATAATTAACAGTTTCAGTTTTTATAATTATTATGTATTTCACCATAAAAAAAATTTATTTATTATAAAATGTAAATACATGGCTGGGGCAAGAAGAATCAAATTCAGTCTAATCGCCAAGCCCATTTAAATTACGAATTTGAATAAAAAATTACGTTACGTTATTAAATTACACTTTTACGTTACATCACATTGTAATATATGCAATAAATGTATATATATAAATACGAATATAAAAAAAAAATTAATAAAAATAATCTATAAAAAGATAATAGATTTATACAATATAACGCATTGTTTTTAATTTGTGATTAGTCTTGGATTGCCTTTTCTTTTTTGCATATGATTTACACTACATTAGTAAGTAAATATATTACGTTTTATGTCTGATAAAAGTTGTAATAAATATATATATAATAAATAAATATTGGTATGTGATATATTTTAGAGATTCCAAACACTACGGTTGATTGGTATTTGGTTGGTTGGTTGGTGTATTTGGTTGGTTGGTTGGTGTATTTTCACCTATACTAGATAATATTATATTGATTGGTTGTTTTAATAATAACTTTTTTTTGTATAGTATCAAATCCAGCTTCCTCAGTAACCTGTAAATTGTTGTCCTCACTGATACTTGAATTATTATATAAATTAATTGACTTCATTGTATTTTTATCATTTTTATTTGTCTCTAGCTGTTTCTTCTTCTTCTGGTACAAGTAAGTTGTTGTACTTACTTATACTTGACTTATTACATTGATTAATTGGTTTTATTGCATTTTTATTTTTTTAATTAATCTCTAGCTGCTTCTTATGGTACAAGTAAGTTATTGTATTTACTTGAATTATTACATCTATACTAGACAATAATATATTGATTGCTTGTTTTTATTATAATTTTTTTATATAGTGTCGAACCCGGCTTCCACAGTAATCTGTAAGTTGTTGTACTCACTTATACTTGACTTATTACATTTGTTTTTATTGAACTTTAAATTTTTCTACATAGCTCAAGCTACTGCTTCTTCAAATACAATAAGTAAGTTGTTGTACTTGCCAATAACTAATTTAGATTGATTAATTCCTTTTATTATACTTTTCAGTTTTTAATATAGCTACAGAGGTATCTTCCGGTTTAATCAGTCAATCTAGTAAGTCAAGTATAAGTGAGTATATAAAATAAGTTTTTGTACTCACTTATACATGATTTATTGCATTGATTTTGTTTTTATATTTTATAGTAGATTTTTTGTTAGTATTCCAGTAGAAAAGTGAGTACAAAAACTTATTTACAGCTTGAGCTGTATAGAAAAATTTAAAGTTCTTATTAAAAATTTAAAGTTCACAGAGCACCGAGCATTCTCTGAATATTTAAAACCATTATGTAAATGGTTTTAAATTTGTAAGATATTTAATTTCCACATAGCCCTTTCCATGACAATTGCATTCTACAAATGCATCAGGACTTGCAGCGATCTCAGGAAATTTTTTACTAACATGCAATCTTGTCAAAGTTATTTTAAAATTTTTATTTAGTTCTGACATTATTTGAAAATATTTTTCTCTAGCTTTAACTTCATTTTCAGTAACATATTTTGCTGTTATTATTTCATCAAAAGATTTATACTGCAGGATTTTGTTAATTTAACTTTTATTGTCATTTTTTAACAAGTGACATGCTTCATAAAAGTAAGAGGCAGTAATTGTATCACATTTATGCTCTTTCCACAACGTGAAAAACGTTGCGCATGTTATTCCTAAAAGTCTGTCAAAAGATTTTTGGGAATAACACTTTTCGTAAAGTTTACATTGTTGTTGAAAAGTTCTTTTGAAAAGTATGTTTAACCTGGTTCGAATAAATATGTCAAAGGTTCTGGGAGACACGTTTCATTGGTTTCTCAGTTTTACTAGAATACAAAAATCAGTTTCATTAATACTTGTTATAACAGCAGCAAGTCCTTTATCTTTCAGTTTGTTAAACTTGGACTTTGAAATCCAGCATATTGTTTATAAGAATAACAATTTTCATCAACATTCTTGGATAATTGATTATGTAATTTTTTTTTTCCGGAAAAAATTTATGTTTGCTAATGTTGTGGGACTAGCATGCTTTTTAGTTTTACTTTCTCTGCTATATACACTTTGTGATTCTACTAAATATGTATATATATATATATATATATATATATATATATATATATATATATATATATATATATATATATATATATATATATATATATATATATATATATCGTTTTATGTAGTGTTGTATTAAAATAATACACAACTCTTGTTCGTTGAAAAGTGCTCAATATTTAAGAAATTTATTTTGATTATATATAAATTTCATAACAGAGCGGTTTATAATTAAAAACGAAAAAAGAAAAAACTTTTATTATGGAACTTTAAGTTTCATGCCTAACGGCAATCATCAGCCATATATTACAAAATTTAAAATAGACGTTAAAATTACAATTAAAATTACGGTGGCGTGAGTTCTAATGACTCCATGGAAACAAAACTTTAAGTTTTAAGAGTATCACGTGATGTAAAAGTGACGTAAACCAATCAGGATCAATCTGCGGTATCATAGGAGGAAATAAGAAATTTATTTTTGTGCCTACACTTCGAGATTATTTCACTCCTTGTGTTAAGTAGGTTTTTACCTTTATACATTAGAATTTGAAACTTCTCGTTCAAACAGAGGTTGCACACTCTTGATGTTGGGTTGTATGGTTTGCAACGTTTAACAATTTTCCATCTGACAAAAGGTGTAAAGTTTTTTTCTTTTGATTTCCATATTTCTTTAGATAACTCTGTATCATTTTTATATCTAATTGAATTAAAAGATTTGAGGTTATTTGCGTATCGAACTTTAAAAGATGTCTCGCTGAGTCCAAAATATACTTTTTCTTTGTACTCCGGATTGTTTGAACAAACGGTGGCTTGATAAACAATGTTGTTAGAAAGACAATTGTTGTTCATCGGACCATACAACCATACAACCCAACATCAAGAGTGTGCAACCTCTGTTTGACACGGTCGTTTAGACTTTAGAAATAAGTGGAAAGTTATTATACGCAAGCGCAGTAGAGTTAAAAATAATTTAGAATTTTAAAAATGGCTACGGATGTAACGTTTTTAAAAACTTATCATTGACAACGAGTAACTTGTTTAATTTTAGATAATTTAATAGGCTTTTAACTATTTTTAAAATAAAATTATTGTGAAAATAACTTGCAGCTTTACTAAGAAATCTTTTAAATAAAATACAAGTCCTCTGAATGTAAATAAAATCTACTTTCAGCTAAAGCTACTTTTACTGTTTTTGTTTATAATCTTTAAACCTTTTTAAAAAAAATTTTGAGCGTAGAAATTTTTAAATTTTTATTTATTCAGCAAGATGAACCTTTTATCTTTTTTGCATTTTTTGCTTTTATGAGGATTCAATTTTTTTTGCAGGGTTAAAATAAAATCTTAATCTTTAACTTTTTATAACCTGTTGCTACGATACTCCTTTCTGATGTGTGTGTATATATATATATATATATATATATATATATATATATATATATATATATATATATATATATATATATATATATATATATATATATATATATATATATATATATTATAAATAAAAACACAAACAAGTTTTGAACTTAAAGCATAACTTTGATAAACTATTTAATTTTTAGATTTAATTTAATTTAATTTATTTTATGCATCAAATAAATATCAATCAACACAAAATAAAAGATCAAAATATAATTCAAATGAAAATATAAATATCTTTTATGCATTAAAAACATTTTTCATTCTTTCAATCTTTAAGTAAAAAATATTTTAAATATATTCCTATTGATTTTAACAATCTCAAGCTGAAAACATTAAAAAAAAAAAATTTAAACACGAAACACAAAAAATATTTATATCGAGTTCCAAGAAAAAGTCTTTCTGCTTTAGTTTACTTTTCCCTTCTTTACAACAGGTAAGTTTCTTTGTTGAAACGCGAATATGGTTGAAATACTAAAAAAATATATACTATAATATTTGTTTGTTTTAAATCAATTTTTATCATAGTTTATTAATTTTGAATCAATATGTACAAAACCAGACTGATGATTCAATCGATAGAATCAAAATGATAGCATTCAATCGATAAAATCAAAAACATAACTAATGGTATTGCTTTGATGCAGGCAATACAGTTGATTTATTTGAGGTTATTGACTAAATCAAAAGCCTGGAATAATAACATTCAAAATTTTGATCATAGATAAGTGTGCATAAATATATAATGTATGTATGCGTATATATATATATATATATATATATATATATATATATATATATATATATATATATATATATATATATATATATATATATATATATATATATATATTAGGATCTTGTGAATTGCTTCGATTCGTGAATCAAGTGTCGCTTCAATTCGAGTCAAAAAAAAAGATTCAAGTTTTTTCAAATCATATTTTTGCGAATTATTTTGCGAATATTGCTGGTTTTTTTAGATTTCTAAAGCTAAAATGTAATTGAAATGGGTTTTTCAAACCAGGGGGAGAAAGAGTAATTGAAAATAGTTCTAACAAAACAAACACCAAAAATATAATCTGAGCAAAAAGAATTTGTTCAAAGAAATATTTTTATCTTTTTGGAAAAAAAAACAAACTTAAACTTGGTTTTCACGAATAGCTGATTCGATTCGTGATTCGATTCGCGAATCAAGACCTGCTTTGAGATTCAATTTGAAACAAAAAATGTCAATTTGCAGGGCCCTAATATATATATATATATATATATATATATATATATATATATATATATATATATATATATATATATATATATATATATATATATATGTATATATATATATATATATATATATATATATATATATATATATATATATATATATATATATATATATATATATGTTACCAACATATAACAATATTATGTTACTATATATGTTACCAACATATAACAATATTATGTTACTAACATATAAAAATATTATGTTACTAACATATAACAATACTATGCTCTCTTCTTTAAGAATATTGAGCACTCTTTGACAGTCTGTTCAACTCCTTCAGAAGGTTTATCAAAAAAATAGATAAGTGTTTATGTTATATATATATACATACATATATATATATATATATATATATATATATATATATATATATATATATATATATATATATATATATATATATATATATATATTTAAACAATTTAAAAAATGTATTCTACAAAATAGAGTGCTCAATGTTCTTAAAAGAACAGTGCAAATTTCTGATGAGTCTTGATGAAACACAGTGTAAAATGAAATAAAATTTTGTTAAGAGATTTTTTACTAATTTATAATATATATATATATATATATATATATATATATATATATATATATATATATATATATATATATATATATATATATATATATATATATATATATATATATATATATATATATATATATATAGCCACATCGGAAAAGAGCACCATAGCAACAGGTTACACAAGTTTAATGATTAAGATTTTCTTTTAACCCTGCAAAAAAATTGAATCCTCATATAAGCAAAAAATACAAAATAGATAAAAGGTTTATCTTGCTGAATAAATTTAAATTAAAAAATTTCTACGCTCAAAAATATTTTAAAAAAGGTTTAAAAATTGTAAACAAAAAAACTAAAGTTGCTTTAGCTGAAAGTAGATATTATTCACATTCAGAGATCTTGTATTTTATTTTTTAAATTTCTTCGTACAGCTGCAAGCTATTTTCAAAATAATTTCATGAAAAAACTAGTTAAAAACCTATTTAATTATCTAAAATTAAACAAATTACTCGTTGTCAATGATTAGTTTGTATAATCCTGTTACCGTAGCCATTTTAAAAAACCTTCAAGAAATATAATTCCACTGCGCATGCGTATAATAACTTTCCTCTTACAAACGACCGTGTTGAACGAGAAGTTTCAAATTCTAATGTATAAAGGTAAAAACCTACTTAACACAAGGAGTGAAATAATCTCGAAGTGTAGGCACAAAAATAAATTTCTTATTTCCTCCTATGATACCGCAGATTGATCCTGATTGGTTTACGTCACTTTTACACCACGTGATACTCTTAAAACTTAAAGTTTTGTTTCCATGGAGTCATTAGAACTCACGCCACCGTAATTTTAATTGTAATTTTAACGTCTATTTTAAATTTTGTAATATATGGCTGATGATTGCCGTTAGGCATGAAACTTAAAGTTCCATAATAAAAGTTTTTTCTTTTTTCGTTTTTAATTATATATATATATATATATATATATATATATATATATATATATATATATATATATATATATATATATATATATATATATATATATATATATATATATATATATATATATATATATATATATATATATATATATCAACTGGGCTTCAGGAAACAAAGTAACATAGTTTCTCCAAAATTTCTTTTCGATACCATAAGGATATAAAAGCAAAACATTATTTTCTTATGTTAACTTCTTCAAATAAAATTCTTGGTCAAGATTAGCAAGAGAATTAAAGCAAGAAGACGTTAGATGAAACGTTATTTAGTTTTCCTTATTAGAATTCTCGTTTATCTTATTTTTGCCAACCAACTGCCGCGCGTGCACTTAAAATGTAAACATATGCAACCAGACTATAGTGACAATACAAAACCTACAAAAATGTTGCCTCTCCCGCACGGGGAATCGAACCCCGGCCGCCTGGGTGAAAACCAGAAATCCTAGCCACTAGACCATGCGGGACATGTCTGTTTGGCTGAAAAACATAAATTTATTTTTAAATTTTTATAACAATTGTATATAACAGGGGTGGGCAAGTGCGGCTCTTTTATTTATGTGTGGCTCCCGCTAAATTTATTAATTTCTACTTTTTGTACTACTATATTTATTTTTCAGATTTAATTTTTTGGAAATATTTTTAATAAATATCATTTTTTAAAAAAATATCAATTTATTGTGCAATAATTTTGTATATTTTATATTATAAAATATACAAATTTATTGCACAATAAATTGCATAATGTAAACTAAGTTTACTCGTTTTGTATTTGTGTTATATTAATTCAACACATTTATAGTTGTTAAAATTATTATTCTTCTTACCAACTTTGTAAATTAAAATCATGTAATTAAACATAAATATACATAGCTATTTTTTTTTAATCGAGCGGATAAGATTGACCCCCCGCTCCTCTGCGGCTCTCATATACAATGAAAAATCTAAAATTTGTCTCACTTTAATTCAAACTTGTCCACCCCTGGTATATAATATATAACAATAAAAAAATGATTGCCATGAAAATTTAAATATATATATATATATATATATATATATATATATATATATATATATATATATATATATATATATATATATATATATATACATTTTTGATGCTTGATTGTAGGGCTTACATTATGCTTTTATCTTCCATATAATCACAGGATTTATATGTTTCGATTTTAGCTCCCATATTTCTTTGGAAAGTTCAGTGTTATTTTTATATTTGGGTGCATTGAAAGACTTAAGATGGTTGGCATATTTAAATGTGGTTTCACTTATACCAAAACAAACTTTATCTTTGAATTTGAGGATCTCCAGAACTTACAGTGGCTTGGTATACGATAGTGCTAAAAAGGCATTGGTTATTTAACGGACAAATTTTTTTGTCTACGCAGTTACATTTTTTTGATGTTTTATTTTTATCGCTTTGTAAAATTTTGTTATTATGTGCATTTATTAAAGACTTGATATTAGGCATGCAACTATAGCTAACTTTGATATAGTTTCGATTAAAAATTTTATGAAGCCTGTGTCCTACTTAAAAATGTTGGTCAATTAAAGCTAAAAAGCGACCTCCAATTTTAGTTTCAACATTTTTGCTAAACGGGTGGTTGTACCATATAATTTTACGTTTGCGATGTCTTTTTTGATTTTTGTTTATTTGCGGTTGGTAGGTGAGTTTTGATTTGTATCCTGATTTACGTAAAGCTTCTTCATACGGAAGAATTGAATTATTGAACACAGTTTCATTTACTGCCATAGTCGATGATCTTAACTCAATAGTGGAGGTCTTTCTTATAGTATATTGGGTGGATGGTTTGAATCAGAATGAACATACATAAGTTGGTTGTTAAGTTTACAATACGGTTGATAAGAACTGTCAATCAGGTTCATTGTTACATCAAGATAATTGACAATTTTAATATTACATTGGATGGAGATAAGTAGGTTGTTACTTTTAAAAATACGTGTAAAATGCTTTTTGATTTTTTTCATTTGTTGGCCGCTTTTGTTTTCAAAAATAGCAACCCTGTCGTCACGGTACAAGCCGTTTTTTTATCATAATGTTGAGAGAGCTGAAATAATATAAAAATACTAACTAGTTCACAAACTTCAGCTCCATCAAATGCTCCCATTGTGACATCAAATAATCCGCCTCTTTTCTTTATCCAAGCTTCATCGTTATTAAAAATTAAAGATTTTCATGCATGATATATTATTTTTCTATCGTCATCATTTATAATAACATGTTGTTCGGCGAAATTGATTGCATTGGTAAGAGTGTTTTCACTAATATATGGGTAAAAATCATTTATATCAAAAATTAGAAATTTGCAAAGGTGTTTATTTTTGACTTTTTTAAATCAATCGATAACAAATTCAACTGTAGTTTATTTTTTAATTCGTGAATAATTTTAGATAAAATAACTTTACTAATTCTTCCTGCCTCGTTTTTCGAAGGGTTTAAAGGGCGAACTGAAGGGTTGTTAATAAATTTATCCTTATGGTCTTTTAAAGTGAAAAAACAGCGGGCGATTCATTTATCTCAATATTGTTATACACTTCATGGTGGATTAAAAGGTTTTTTCCTTCCTTAATTATTTGATCTTTTAATTCTGGCATCGACTTTTTGTATGTAGAAGTAATTGCGTTTGTTAACAGTTTGTTGTATTCATCTTTAGATAATTTATATAAATTAGATGTTTTGTCTGCCTTTATTAATGTTTTATGCGACGTATGTATGGATTTTAAGTCTTTTTGCATATTATTTTGAAACTTGCAGTTTACGTTGCAAAATTTTATTGATTTAACTAAGTTTATAAGGTCTTTTTCGAAAGAACGCATTTCATTTATTTGCGGTGGGCATTTTGATGATTTGATTCCGTAGTCTGAATCATTTTGGTAGTTATTTATGAAAAAGAACGCATTTCATCTCATTTTCTTTACGAGCATTTCTGTTTTGTTTAGTAGTTTTAATTTAGATTCTTTTTCAGATGGAATCGGTATATTTTTGATTGAATATTTCATGTTTATTATTTCCATTTTTGTTGAAGACTTGAGAAGAGTGCTCAACTTGTAGGAGCAAATTTATACAAAATAGATAATGCATTGTTATGGTATAATAATAATAATACAAATACTCTTGAGGGTTTAAGAGTGCTCAATACTATTAAATAATAGCAATATTTGTATATATATATATATTCAGGGCCGGCGCGAGTAGGTGTCACGTGGGTGTGTGTCTGCCATTATCACTTTTGCCTACTTGAGAAAAAAAAAAAAAAAAAGGTCCTCGTTTTCGAAAATTTACCGACGGCCATGACAACATTTTTTTTTTCTTTTTTTTTTTTATTCATAGTTACAATCATTATTACAATTTCTATTATAACTTGTGAATAAAACGTAAGACATAAAAAATAAATAAATAATATTTACAATAAAGATTTCGTTAACAATAGAAATATGACAATAAATATAACAATAAAAAGTCCTAGAGGTCTTGTCGTAGAGAACTGCTGGAATCAAAACGCTTTAAATGAATTCATTTTTATTAATTTTTTGTAAATGTTTATTCGCTTTTGAATTGGATCTGTTTCGATAAATAATTATATAAACCGTTGCAAAGAATAGTTAAAAATAATTAATATACTTCAGTATATTTATTAATGTGTTTGATGACGTCATAGTGTGTTGGTGATGTTAATATAAATCGAATACATTAAAAAAAAAAAATTTAATTGAACATTTCTTGCATTAAAATTGTAAAAGATAAACTCAGGGTGGGGTGGACATTCTTGTTGATAATTAGCTCTTGTTCTAATTTTTTTTTTTTTTTTTTTTTTTTTTTTAAGTGTATATTGTGTTTGCATCTTTACCATACAAGCGATCATAGGTGATATCACCGAATCCTAATCCAGCCTAACGATTGCCAAGCAGTTTTATTTGGGTGTTCCTACGCCAGAGGTTATGCAGCACTATTCTCTTTTTTTTTTTTTTTGAATATACATAGACTACAAGCACACACACATCCATACTAACAGCACATATACACCCATATATATACCAGTATACATACATAAATACATACATACACAGATACACATACACATTTATACATAATTTATTGATTTTTTTTCATTTTTCTTTTTTTCATTTCTTTTTTTTTTTTTTCATTCCTTTTTTTTTTTTTTTTTTTTTTTTTAATTTTTACAAAACCGTGTTATAAAAACCGAATAAAATTTTTTTGTTTTTTGTTTTTTCAAATACTAAATAAAAAATAAAATAAACCTGAAAATTTACACATACTAGAAATATATAATATAAAGCAATATAAAATACGAACTCAAATAATAAATATTTATACATCTATTCATAGCTATCAGTTTCAGTACAATCTCAATGTAACTATATACTTAGGTAAACTTAGTTTTAATAATAGGTGGACAAACCCATAACACTAGTAATATAGAAAAACGTTCTCCATTGGAAGAATTATATTTTTAAGCTTAGTCTTGAAAATAGAAAAAGAGGAAGGTAGATCAAAATTTTGCAAAATAACTTTATTCCAAAGATTAGGTGCACGATAATCAATACAAAGCTGAATAAACTTGGTTCGACATAAAACTTGATTTAGCAAATTATTATTTCTCAGTGCATACTTATTGGTTTCAAAGTAAAAATATTTTTAAAAACTTCAGGAGATAAGTTATTTTTCCACATATATACAAAACATAGAGTATTATATAAATTCTCTTCATAAATATTAAGTATTCTCATTTCGTTTTTGAATTAGTAAAACGATCGGAAAAATTAATAAAACGAATTGCGTGTTTCTGACGTGAAAAAAGAAGTTTCAACTTAATCTTTCCAGCACTTCCCCAAGCAATATTTGCATAATTTATATAATTATGGATAAACGAATGATAGAGTT